CAAACGTGGCGTATAGCACGTCCTGCTCATCAGAATTCACTTTTTCGCGTGGTCTTTATCCTACACGTCTTTGATATGACGAAGAGTTTGCTTTTTTTCTGTGGTGAACATTCCCCTTTTTCCAACTTTCTGTCTTTTTTTGTCTTTCGGCTTTAATTTGCTTCCTTAACAATTTCCATGTAATTTCTACCAGTCCTTTTTTACTGGCAAGGATTAGTAACGCAGCACTTGGTTCGAAGCTATCAAATGCTTTGCCCAAATCGATATGAGTAATGATCGGGTGCATTCGGTTCCAAGCAGTCTGCAAACTTATCAACATGTCATTTGTAGTCTTGACCGGCATTTGCCGTAACACTACAATCGTTTTTCCCGATTTTGCTATTTTATCTTCCCGTGCATCTCCCGGAACTTGCTGCACGGGCATGCCGCATGTTTCTTCATTTATAACTGCGATAATATGTATTTTTGTCTGGAACGTGCATTGATCGTTTCCTGGTTAAGGCAGTTTAGAGACGTCTCTGAGAATGAGCAGAACATCAAGATGTGTTGTATTTCGTTTCTTCTCGCGTTTGACGCGAGTCAAGCTTCTCTTCATCCTTTGGAGTCAGACATTATCAACAAACTGCTTGTTTTTTTTTTGTCATGATTGCTTGCTTCACCACCGCTATGAGCTCTAGAACGGCTCTCTCCGCTTCTCCGTTTTCCTCTTAGTTTGATGTTGAACTTTTTCGTAATGATCGTATATTTAGAATGGGCAACAAAGACAGGTTTAAGCGCAACAGGCTTTATGATAATCGCTGGTGATCGTGGGAACATGAATAGTTTTTAAAGTTTTATTAGAATCTAGCCGAAGTGTGCCGATTCACGTTAAGCAAAACTGTCAGGAAATGATTTAAAAAGACGATTTTCTGCTATCGGCCAACTGTCCTCTATGCTTCATTTCTGCCATGCGAATTGTCGTGCTTCCAGGTTATGATATTTTCGATCCTTCGTCGTTCACCACATGCACCGATGACATTACTTAATGACCTACTGGTTTCTTGAGAAAAAATGGTTCTTAACTTCATGTTAAGAAGCCTGGACTATTCCAGATGACCGCTTTTGGTCATTTAGAAATTTTGATTCTTCGATGCCCTTCGTCGTCTTGGATTCTTTTCCTGTTCCACGTCTGTTGCGTGCATTTCACACTTAACGCTAGATTTGTGACCTTTGCTAAATTACCAGCTTCCACCGAGTCCACGATGGTTCGTATCTCCCAAAGCTAGGCCAGTATTATGCGGCACAGTGTCGTGTCTGTATGCCTTGAGCAGCCAGTGTTTCTGCGTCGCCTCTGCTCAGTGCTTTGCCACTTTTACACAACCGTGAATGTCTAAGTTGGAGTTCTTGAAGGGTAAAGAGACTATGAAAAATGATGTGATTTTTCCCGCTATAATATGTTTTTGCAGTTGCTCTGTATAATTGCTATTATTCTGGAACGAAATCGCGAGTTGGTATTCAGCGGCAAATTGGATCTAGACCAGGTTTCTGGATGTTCTTTTATATCCATGCTCGAGTTTCTTTCGAGCCCTCTTTGACTCAGTAGTATGTAGAGCTGCTAGATCCCGTTTTTCTTTTCTCCTTGCTCCATTCCTCAAGCCACATCTTCTAAAGTAGAAAGTGCTGCGCATTTTGTCTTTGCTGTTTTCATTGCAAGTATTTTTCACGCTAATTTGGCTGGTATTATTCCTAAATTCTGCCTTTACTGCGAATACGCTTCTGCAGGTAGCCTCATCCTTGGCTACATTGCTGAAAATTCGTTTCTCGCTGCTACTCTTGCACTAGGATAAAAGAGCAGTAAGGCAATTCCGTTGGGTTAAATATAAAATTAAAATTTGCCTGCTTGTAAGATGTGGCAGTGTTAGCTGAAGTGAAATAATTACAACTTATACTTTACAGGTCGATTTAGTAAGTAGAAAGGAAGAAGTACGCTTTTCTAGATTTGTGTCAGTGGAAATCATTTGCAGTTCGAGTGCTAAAACTTATCTCAGCCGTAGA